CCGCCTGGCAGGGGGTCCCGGCGGGGAGCTGCTCTGCAGCCCTGGGCGCTCTCCTCCTTGACTCGGTACAGGCAATCATGAGCGATCGAAAGGCCGTGATCAAGAATGCGGACATGTCCGAAGAGATGCAGCAGGACGCTGTGGAGTGTGCTACTCAGGCCTTGGAGAAATACAACATCGAGAAGGACATCGCTGCGCACATAAAGAAGGTAGGGGTTTGCTTGTGCTGTGCTCGGGGAATGGCAGTGCCCTGGAGAATCGAGGAGGGAGAATGCTGCCAGGCAAGTAGCTCTAGAGAAACAAGTTCTAGAGACTAGCTCTAGATAATCAGGTAGGACTTTCTCTGCAGGCTGGTGTCCTTCTGTTCCTTTCCCCACCCTTTACATGGACTGTTCCGGGTCCTTCTGCTTTTCTCTTGCAGTACCTTCTACTTAAGCCTTTCTGCCAGTGTGCCCTTGTCCAGGTGACCAGAGAGTGGCAGCTGACTGTCCCTGTGACTGATAAGCTGCTACAAAACACGGGCTCTATTGAGCTCTCCTATGGTTTTCCTCTGATAGAATAACTGTTTTGCATAGTGCTTGGTTTCAATTGTAACGAACTTAATCTTAAGGATCTTTTCACACTTCTGTCCAGCTGGGTCAAAAATTGCAGGGAAAGGTAGTTTTCTATGAGTCTACCCTAATCACACCTATCCTTATGTGGTTACTGAACCAAGAAGGGGGAAAAAAAAAATTCTGGTGGCACTGACTATCTGTTGTTTGCAATGTCTGTGTCATTCTTTATGTAGGATTAAGAATACTGAACATGGGAAAGATCTAGTTCAGAGTTCTGGTTATATTTCCTGCTTCATCAGGTCGGGAGAATGGAGAAATGAAAGAGTGTCCATGAAAGCTAAACTGATCTGTGTGCAAGAGGTGTTTAAAAAGTAATTCAACTAAGCAGAATGATTGCTTCCACTAGAGAAGTCTTGGTTTGCTATGTGCACAATCCAGAAAGGCATTTTTTCCCCAGATGCACAAAGTATCTGTGATGTGGAAAAGAGAGTTTACTTGAGTATTTTTCAGGTATTCTTTATAGCAACTAGTGGGAATTTGTAGAGGGTTTGTTTGGAACGTGTAAAACAATTCCTTAGATTTGTTGATGGTACTGGTGTTACAGAGCATGTGGCAGAGAATTTGCCGCCAAGTCCCTTCAGCAGCTGTGTTGCAGGTGAACAGTGAGATCTAAATTATGGCTTAATCTCTGGGTATAAAACTAGTGGTGAAGCTTTTACTCAAGGGCTATAGTTTCAGATCATGGTATGAGTTATGGAGGGGGAAAGACTACTTTCCCTGAACAAAAGTAGTGTTACTACTGCTCAGGTGGGAGCCACTGTGGATTTTTTTTTTTTTTGTCTGACTAAGCAGCAGGTGAACAGTGAGATGTAAGAAAGAGAATCCCAGTACTTAACAGCATCTGCTCTTCCTCTGATTGCCTTGCTCAGAAAGTGAGCACCTGTTCAGAAGAGTTTTTAATTTCTAGTGGTCTGTTTTGCAGGAGTTTGACAAGAAATACAATCCCACTTGGCACTGCATCGTGGGAAGGAACTTTGGCAGCTACGTGACTCACGAGACCAAGCACTTCATCTACTTCTACCTCGGCCAAGTCGCTATTCTTCTTTTCAAGTCTGGTTAGAACCCTGGACTGTTACTGACACTCGCGCCTGGTTACAGGACTCTGTGCCAACTCCTCTGAGCAGTTACTGCAGCCTTGCTGAGGACGCAGACCTTGATCTTCAAGGGCGATGGCAGGGATTATGCTATGGGAAATGATGTTACGTTGTGGATATAAAAAGGAACACGAAAAAGTCTTCCTTGTATTTATTTTTTTTCCTTAGAAAGCTGCTTCTTTGCCAGCAGAGCTGCTGGAGCAGTGTTGCCTGTGCGAGTTGTACAGCCACCAGTTACTGCTTCTGTAAGGGCTGGCTGCACTCGGTCTCCCTGTGCCGGGGCTCCCCGGTCCCGCTGGCTGCGGGGTTTCTCTCCCCTCGCTGTGCTGCCCCGCAGCCCGAGCTGTTTCT